TTCTCAGTGATCAAGACGTCTGGGAAGGTGGTGCTTGCAGACGCCTGCTCATCATCATCTTTGTCCATCTTTCGAAGATGGCTCTTGGTGCCCCGGATGGTAGGGCCACCACATGAGAACCCGCTTGCTATTGTGCAGACCGACTCCTTGTCAGTATCCGAGCTACTAGCAGGCTGGGGGTTGGTCTTGGAGGACTGACCCTTGTTCTTCTTTTTTGCCCCGGCTAGGGACTTAGAAATGTAGGACTTCAACAGCCCTTTGTCAGCCAGACGGTCCAACGCCCGCTGAAGACTGAAGCAGTCGTTGGTGTCATGGCCAACCTCCTCATGGAACTGACAGAATTTATTTTTGTTCCGTGACTGAACGGAACTCTTCATTGGATTCGGCTTTTCAATGGACAGCGGGTCCTTTACCTCCATGAGGATGGAGTTGCAGTCTTTATTAAACTCGTACTTGGGGACGGCTCGTCAGAGTCATTTAACGCCCAGATTTCTTTTCTTTTCTTGCTCTCTTCTTTAATTTTGGTCGGCTGAACAGGCCGGCTGTCTTTCTACTTATCGGACTTCTTAGAGTCCGACTGGCTACCAGGCGAGCAGAGGTCGGTAGCTTGAATGTAGCTTTTTGCCTCCCTCAGGGCCGCCAGTAAAGTGAAAGCCCCTTTTCTGACTAGGTCAAACTTAAAGGTCGACCCGTCTTTCAGACCCTTGAAAAAGTCTGTAAAAGCTACCTCATCTGACAGTCCTTGAATCTGAATTCTGATCAGATTGAACCGCCTGACATATGAGCGTAGCCCTTCTCTCTCTCCCTGCTTAACAATGCTCAAATCAAGGCTTGTTTTCTTAGCAGGAATGTTCATTGAGAAGTTGGAAGCAAATAGGAAGGCGAGCTTCCCAAAATTGTCGATGGACCCGGCTGGCAAGTTGCCAAACCATTGTTGGGCAATGCCCTCCAATGTAGCCGGGAAGCATCGACACCAAGTGGCGTTATCCAACCCCTGTAAATACATGAGGTTGGTGTATGCCATAAGGTGGTCTTCTGGGTGTGTGGTACCATCATAGGTACCTACCAATACATTCTTAACCTTGGCCAGTTGTGCCGCCTCGGTTATCTCCCGGGTGAACGCATAAGGTTGTTCACCCAGGCGTAGCAGACGGAGCTGCCAGTCCAGTGGCTGGACATTTTGGTATGTCGCCTGACCTCCGAAGAGAGCTGGCTGCATGAAGTGAGGGGGATACTGACCGTAAACCTGAGTAGGTACATACGGTACAGTACCAATCATCTGAGGGCCAGAATGGACGGTATTATCGCCTGTCTGGTTCTCATGCAAGGAGAGTGCATTCCCTGCAGAAGTGTTGTTAAAGCTGTTAGGAAAGTTTGACGTTGAAGCCAACTCAGATAGCTGCTGATTCCTCTTCCGGTTAATTATTTCCCGGGCATCAGGGTTTGGTTTTTTACTTCCCCCCGGCTGTTGAATCCGGCGGGTGTCATTGGTATTCCTCTTAGGAAGAAGAATTTTGGACCAATCAATGGTTCCGGCTGCTTTCTCCTTTGGGTGAGGAGTGGGCTGCCGATCTCTGACTGACTTCCCTTTTTCCAGGGGAGTCTTCTTGGCCGTCTGACCCTTACTTGGGCCAGCCCGGTTCTTGGTGATCAGCTCTTTAATTTCACCTTCGAAACTTGTCATGAGTCTCATGAGTTCGTCTTGGATGACGGGTGCTGATCTAGATGTCGTATGGGTTTCCCCTTCCGGCTGACCAGGGGGTCGACTTGCACCCGCTTGGGAGGCACCCCGCTCTAGAGTGTCTCTGGGCCGGATGCGCTTGGTTCTGAGAGAGCCATCATCGGCTGTAAAAGTTTCGACCTGAGGATCTTAATCCTCATGGTCTGTAAAGACTTCTAGATCATCGCCCAGACGGTTAAGGGGTGGTACAGACTCTTGAACCATCTTCAAGGTACTCTCCCCATAGACGGCGCCAAATGTTTTGGGTGTTTTTGTCCCTCGGGAGAGTTACAACACGAAGACTCATCCGCGTGAGTTGTACCTGCAAAACCAACGGAGACACTGGTTGGTTGGTACTCCGCCTCCGACGAACAAGTTAGTAACTTAAAGGAAAAAAAGGTGCGGAAATTTAGGTGGGTATCTGCTCGGATTCCAAGCTCAGATGGCTCTATCACAGGGACTGTGTAATAAATGGTAAACGTGCCCTCCAAAAGAGGGAAATCTCCCTATTTATAGGGTCCTCGGGATTTATGCCCCTGATTAGGTCATTGATCCCTAATCATTGGTGGGCTGCGCCGCATTGCGGCTTTCTCGGGATTTGGGCTTGAAGGCCGCCATTTCCCCGCTAATTTCTGGAGTGACACGTGTCAAGCAGGGATTGGTCCACTTTGGACCACCCTGAGGCTGACACGTGTCATCCTCTGGTTGGGCCACATGGCGGGGTAAAATTACCCTAAACACCACTTTTTTCGAGAGATTTCAATTCAGTTTCAATTGCTTCATTCCATTTTGGCCAATCGCTTCTTTGTGCACATTCATCAATGGATTTTGGCACATTATCATCATCATCATTCATAACATTTACTGCCACATTGCATGCAAAAACATCATCGACGTCGATTTGGTTTCGGTTCCTTGTAATTCCAGACATGATAAAATTTGTTGAAATTTCTTCATTGTTAGGTACCTGAATATCCTTTTCCATCATGTCTAAGGTCTCTTCTTGGGATCCTTCAAAATTAATAGCTTCCCCAATCTAGCCATTGTCAATTGTTGCCCCTTTTCTCTTCCGAGGATTTTAATCTTTGGAACCGATGGGTCTACCACGCTTAAGGCGTGCTTTAGAATCATTTGCAACTTGGGCTTGTCCTTCTGGGACATCAATTTTAATAGGAGCATTTTCAGCTGGTATATGTGACTTTGTCAATTTCTTTGGGTCAGTAAATGAGTCTAGCAATTGATTTGCTAAGTTTTGTAAATGAATTATCTTTTGGACTTCCAACTCACATTGTTTAGTACGAGGATCTAGATGAGATAATGATAATTCATTCCAACTAATTTCCTTTTCCAGCTGTTTTTTTTCTCCCCCTAATGTTGGAAAAACTGATTCATCAAAATGGCAATTTGCATAACGAGCCGTAAATAAATCTCCTGTAGTTGGCTCTAAGTACTTAATTACCGACGGAGATTCATATCAAACATATATCCCTAGTCTTCTTTAAGGGCCCATTTTAGTGCGTTGTGGTGGAGCAATTGGAACATATAATGCACATCCAATTCTTCTCAAATGCGATACATTTGGTTCTTGACCAAAAACGAACTGTGATGGGGAGAACTTATGATGACTTGTCGGCCTGATGCGAATTAGTGTTGCTGCATGTAATATAGCATGCCCCCAAGAAGAAATTGGGAGCTAAGAATTCATAAGTAATGGTCTAGCAATTAATTGCAAACGTTTAATTAATGATTCTGCAAGATCATTTTGTGTGTGATGAACATGTGCTACAGGATGTTCAACACTGATCCCAATTGACATGCAATATTCATCAAATGCCTAGGATGTGAATTCACCAGCGTTATCAAGACGAATAGCCTGAATAGCAAAATCAGGAAAATGTGCTCGTAATCTGATCAACTGAGCAAGTAGTCTCGCAAATGCCAGGTTGCGAGTTGATAACAATGATACGTGTGACTATCTAGTTGATGCATCTATTAAAACCATGAAATATCTAAATGGCCCACACGGGGGGATGAATTGGTCCACATATATCCTCTTGTATACGTTATAGGAAAGTAATAGATTCGGAATTTATTTTAGTTGGTGATGGCCGAAGTATTAACTTGCCTGTTAAGCAAGCAACACATGGAAAACTATTATGAAGAATCTGCTGGCTCTTCAATGAGTGTCCACATGAATATTCAATTATCTTTCGCATCATTATTAAACCGGGATGGCCTAACCGGTCATGCCAAACTTTAAAGTCATTAGTAAACTTCTGGTTTACTATAGCATGTTATTCAATTGTATTTATTTTTGTATTGTACAAACCAGTGGAGAATATAGGTAATTTCTCCATAATAAGTTGATTGCCTTGAGTTACACTCGTGATTTGAAGGAACTCATTATTTCCTTCACTAATTGTCTCAATATGGTATCCATTTTTTCGAAAATCTTTAAAACATAGTAAATTTCTTTGAGACTTAGGGGAGTATAATGCATCAACAATTTCCAATTTTGTTCCCCTTGCCAATAAAACATTTGCTCTTCCGGAGCCTTCTATAATTTTTGTACTACCTGATATAGTACTCACATTAATTTCTTCCATCATCAATTGCGAAAAATATTTCTTATTCTTAAGTATGGTGTGAGTGGTAGCACTATCAATTAGATATAAATCTTCACCATTGGTTGATGATTGAGCTCCAAAGGAATTCATTTTCTAATAGAATTAAAGGAACCAATATAAGATTCACAATATCAAATAACTTAAATTAATAAATGATAATAATGAAATATACGAAAACATAAAATGCCCAAAAACATAAAATTGTCCAAAAACAATTGTCCCATAAAGCATAAAGTCATAGTACTACGATAAAATTCTAAAAACAAAATAAATGCAAGCTAATTAATAGAGTTTATTCGCCAATGGATCATAATTTATTCAATTGTTTTCTTCAGGATTAGGAAAGAAACCAGTCGCTTCGAGGTGAGTTGAATCCCCGTTATCAAAATCACCTTCGCCATCTTCATACACCAAATTTGTTTCCACTTTCTTTCCTTTCTGTTTGATTAATTGTTGATAAAGGTCTACTAGATGTTTTGGTGTGCGACACACACGTGACCAATGACCTTTTCCTCCACAACGGTAGCATATATTTTCATTTTATCCTTTTCATTCTTACTTCCATCTTTATTGTCCCACTTCTGGTGAGAGTATGAGTTCCTAAAATGACCACCTAGACCACGACCATATCCACGTCCGCGGCCGCGACCACATCATTGACCATGGCCTCGACCACTACTGTTGGCTTGATCTCTAGCCTTTTGCTCTTTCCCACTATGGGATGTCGCATTCACTTCAAGGAATGTAGTAGAGCCAGTTGGGCGTGATTCATGAATTTTCATTAATAGTTCATTATTTTGCTCAACCACAAGGAGACAAGATATCAATTCTGAATATTTTGTAAAACCCTTTTCACGGTATTGTGTCTGCATGACAACATTGTTTGCACGAAAAGTAGAGTATGTTTTTTCTAACATTTCTGCATCCGTGATTTTCTCTCCACATAATTTCAATTGTGACGTAATTCTAAACATGGCTGAGTTGTATTCACTCACAGACTTAAAGTCTTGTAATCTTAAATGTAACCAATCATAACGGGCTTTTGGTAATATCACTGTTTTCTGGTGGTCATACCTTTCCTTAAGATTACTCCAAAGGATTTGTGGTTCTTTAACAGTCAAGTACTCCACCTTAAGACCTTCATGAAGGTGATGGCGAAGGAATATCATGGCTTTAGCTTTGTCTTGGATTTTTCTATATTATTTTATTTGACAGTATTACCAAGTTATTTTGCATCTAAATGTATTTCAGCATCTAACCCCCAAGACAGATAGTTGTTTCCAGTAATATTAAGAGCAACAAATTCAAGTTTTGCAAGCTTTAACATGATTCACTGATATATAAAACAATATTATTAATAGGAGGACATTTAAAAATAACATGCTTGCATTGTACCTTAATGATTATCTATGATATTTGGAGAATATACATGTCAGATTGATCAAACCGAACAAATTGAATACTATTTAATTAGATATAAAATTTATAATACTAGTATTAATCATGAACATGCTATCAAACACACACAGTATGTTAGATTAATGCTAAAGATAAACATGCAAAAGGAATTATCATTATTATGATGCCAAAAAGATCATGCAAAGATAATTAAACTGACACCTAATCGGTTATGTCATGCAAAAGGAATTATCATGCAAAAAAAAATGTCAAATTATGTCAAACATGTACATAAAGTTATCTAAACCAACTAACACCTAATCGGCCAAACTCTTCATATGAATTAATTACAAATCAATGATTGTTTCATGATAAACAATATCAGATTACAACATAAACAAAATTAAATCGGTAATTGTTCTCATAGAATCTAATGTGAATTAACGGTAATAATTAACATCTAGAATATTCATACTAATTTATATTCAATCGAGATAACACACATATAATACAGTATATGCAAACCTTTTATAGTTAATGAGATCTATTTTAATTGATTGCGATAAAAAAAATTATCAAATATAAACAACAGGATCTAATAAAAATTGAAGACGGTGATTATATATTCCTAAACAAAATCATGCTTATACATAATTTGTTAAAACGAAACTATAGAATCAAATGATGAATACTAGAATTAGTAGTGTGCACACAAGTCAATAAAGCAATAAAATTATATACTTTGCAGAAGCCATTCTCGTAGTCAAACATTCTTAATTCCAAATTTCATGTATAAGCGTAATGAATATTATTAAAGTATAAAAAGGTATAGCAGAACATACGAGTTTGGTAGTAATTAAAACAAAGTTAATGAACAATTCAAAAAAAGATTCATATAAAAGATTATTTGCAAATCAGAATACGAAATACATGCAACATAATATTGTGACTACGACTAAGAAGTATGTGGTAATTGTATAATAGTTACATTATATTAAACGTACCTGAATTCAGAGTAGGATAACTTAATTCAACTAGGTAGAACAATGGTGCTGATAACGTGTTAAATATAGAAGAGAAATATATATAGAGAGAAATATATTTTTCGTTCTGTATATTCTTCCATCCAGTACGGGATATGTATACATGAATAATATCTAGAGTTCCATCAACGGATAAGATCAAATACCCAACTCTAGAGTATTCTAGATGGTACATGGGATAATAGTCATCCACATTTAGATATTTCATAACATTGATTTATTTTTCTTTTGTTTCTCATTTTCTTTTATTTTTGTTTTATTTTCCTTATCTTTTATTATCTAATAACCTTGTAAATATAAATACCAATTTTTGGTGTTAGAGAGAGAACAATTAGAATTAGAAGAATTAGAATCCAATTTTAGATCTCATATTTCTTAGCTTAGTTGAGAGCTTCTCTCTCTAGATATAGGGTTAGTTTTAGGAGTAGATTTTAGAGAGAGAAAATGAGAAATTTCAATGGTTATTTGAGAGATTAAAGATTCAAGATGAAAATTGTATTGAAGATCTCCCTATCAATCAATGAAGATTTCTCACTCTCTCTCCTCTTTATTGCTTTATTTGATTTCATATTTGTTTGGTTTGATTTTGATGTTTGATTCTTGATTATTGTAATTGTTCTTGATATTTTGTTGACTCTTGATTTCCTTAGTTGTTTGTTGATAGATGATGATTCCCGAATAGTTGTTTGGTTAGGAATTGGGTAAAACTTGTATGATTGATTGTGATTAATTTTGGAATTGTGATTGATTGTTGAGATTAAGTGATTAATGGAAGTTTACATGTGTGTAATTTTATTAGGCCTTGTGTAGGGAATATTTCAAGTGTCCCACACTTGAGCCCCAATATAATCATACATTTAAGTATGGTGGCGTCCAAAGGGAAGGAAGCTAGAGCAAAAGAGTCGCCAACAAGTTTTAGAAATTTGTAAACCGTTCACAGGGTGAGGGTTACACCACTTCACGATCCATGACATCGCTAACTCCATAGTGGACTAGAACCATAACTGGATATTCGGCGATGACGGTACAAATTCAACCTAAAAGAGATTGAACTTGCACTAAAAATAGGCCTATGCTTTATTCTTCTCATATTCATGTGCGCTTTCTGACTAACATACAATCAATGTATTAATCCTAAACCTAATCTATGTTGGTTGAACATTAATGCACAAATAAAACTATTGTTGGCGATCACTTGAATTATATTCATATTAGCCTAAACAAGATTATTAATTATCTTATTAATCGTGATTACAAGTAAAAATTCCCTTTAATCCTGCAAGAAAGGGCGTGATCAAGCAATAACAATAATAATAATAATCATAATAATAATAATAATGATGATGATGATGATGATGATGATGATGATGATGATGATGATGATGATGATGATTGATTAGGGGATTTTTATCCACCAATCACCGTCTGACAAGTGGACCAACCAGGTTCCGCCACGTGTCCTTCACGAAGGCCAATAGGAGCATGCCACGTGTCAATCACAGATACGTCCTCTACGGACCAATCGAGGCACGCCACGTGTCCACCCATGCCAAATGGGAAAACCGGCCATCAAGGCCCAATCCTGTCTAGAGGCCCGGTCAGCCCTAGGTTTACCCTAAACCTAGAGAGTGGCACGCTTCTCAAGGCTATAAATACTTAATTAATCCTCATTAATTAAGCAATCCAGAAATCAAGAAATCAAGCAGAGAAGAACAGAAACATTACGGAACGCTAATAACCGGCTAATCTCGCTAACGACGCAGATTACCAACATTAACCACTCTCACCTAGAGAGATCTTATTACTTTAATTTCCGTATTAATTACTCCTTAATCAGGTACTAACTTGACCGTTGGAGGCGGAGCTCTCAGGAGTCTCCGTTATTTTGCAGGTACAGGCGTCCGGTTCCAGTCTCGGAATTGTAACTCTCCCGCAGGACATCAGAAAACCCCGAAACATTTGGCGCCGTCTGTGGGGAGAGTACTTCAGAGATGGCATCCAAGTCTGTACCGACTCCTGAAGAGAGGCGTCCCCTCAAGTTCAGTCGGACCATGATACCGAAAGTGAATTTGAAGTGGAAACTCATACAGCTCCAGACGGGACCCTAAGGGCCCGACGTACCCGTCATACCGAAAGGAGGGAACGGGAGCATCTTCAAACAGGAAGCGAGCCAGCAGGCGCACCGCCTGCTCGGCAACAGCCGACTGATGGGTCTGCTCCCATCACAAGGAACGAACTCATGACCTTCATGAGGGACTTCAAGGGAGAGATTCAAGAGTTGATCAACAAAAAGCCGCCTGCTTCAGTCAAAGAGCAGTCGGCCAAAAAACCTTCCACTTCACTGAAGAGGAAGCCAGTTCAAGGGCGAGAGGCGACTCCTCATCCTAAATCCAAGAAGCGGGAGCCACTTGCTCTTGATTTCACAAAATTCCGTTATCCTACGGGAAATAGGAAACCGGTTCGTCATATTCAGGCGGACGGGTCAAAGCAAACGTTCACAGATGCTCGGCTACTGCTAGAGCAGAAGAAGAGTGACCGATTGTCAGAGTCGGCTTCTACTTCAAATTTTCAAGACAGTTTGCAAAATGCCTCGATGAGGCATACTCAGTCGTACCATGAGAGTCAGTCAGGCGGCACCTCCCGTCAGTCCGGCTTTCATAGTGCCCAGGCGGTACCAAACTTACCATTTGTGCCGCAACAACAGTACTTTATGCAGCCACCTCCATTTGGTGGACCTGCAGCAAAAAACGTCCAACCTATGGACTGGCAGCTACGGCTGCTTAGACTTGGTGAACAGCCGTCGGCCTTCTCCAAGGAAATTACTGAAGCCGCTCAGCCGCCCAAAGTAAAAAATGTACTAGTAGGCGCCTATGACGGCACTACTAACCCAGAAGACCATCTGATGGCTTTCACCAACCTGATGTACCTTCAAGGGTTGGATGATCCCACTTGGTGCAAGTGTTTCCCAGCGACTCTCAAGGGAATCGCACAGCAATGGTTCGGCAACCTGCCGACTGGTTGTGTAAACAGCTTCAGGACGCTTGCTTACTTATTTGCCTCCAACTTCGCCATGAACATCCCTGCGAAGAAAACGACCCTTGATTTGGGAACAATTCAGCAGGGCGAGAAGGAGGGGCTTCGTTCTTACATCAGGCGGTTCAACCTGATGAGAATACAGATTCAAGGGTTACCGGATGAGGTAGCTTATACTGACTTTTTTAGAGGTCTCAAAGACGGGTCTACCTTCAAATTTGATTTAGTTCGAAAAAGGGTGGCGACTCTTCAAGAGGCCTTGATTGAAGCAGAAGCCTATATACAGGCGACTGATCTGTGTACGATAAAACAGTCGGACGGGAAAAGGTTCGACAAAAGAGAAGGACGACAGAAACAGTCGTCTAACAAAGATGAGAAAAGAAAAGAGGTCTGGGCGGCTGATTCCTCTAAACAGCCGGCCCAGAAAAAGAAAAAAGAATTCAAACCATACTCCCCAAAGTATGTGTTTAACAAGGATAACCAGTTTATCCTGAAAGAAATAAAAGGACGGTTCTCAATTGAGAAGCCGCTCCCCATGAAGGGTTCTGCAAACAACCGGAACCAAGACAAAATCTGTGCTTATCATGATGACGTTGGTCATCACACCAATGACTGCATCAGTCTCATGCGGTACCTAGACCGCTTGGCTGAGCAAGGTGATCTTGACACTTATGTCAAGAAATCTACGGGGAACA